ATCTAGTCAATATTTATAAAGTAAAGAGGGAACCTAGTTACATACTACAATTAACTACATCTATAATTATTAGCAAAAGTATAGGTTACATAATAATTAGGCACTATTTATTTATTTCTATTTCAAAGGCTTTATGAAACCAGCCCACCAACACGATGGGAGAGCCGACCTGACCCAGCAGAAGGCACCCGTTCACGAGTATGACGTGTGTGTCAGCAATTGGTCCGGTCAACCTTTTTATTGGGAACGGAACAACCCAACACACAGCGCCACCGACTGTAGGACATTTATGTGTGCATGACGCCTCAACCCTTGCCACATGGGCCGATTCCAATAAAGCGTACAATAGTCCAAAATTCAATTGGTCATATTCTATTTCTACATGTTTCTGCACACACATTTCCTCATGTTGCATTCGTTCCATCACAAGCAACACTCCCCGCCCAAGAGAGCACCCACGACTGCCGCGTCCCTGTGTTTGATGGCCATTTTCAGGTTGTAGTCCTTAATACCTTGCTCACCCTCATCAGCCGCCTTCCTGATTAGTTTGCTTATCGCGTCTTCACTGTTGTCTGTGTAATAGATGCAACCATGCGTGTGACGCGATATTGCTACTACCGCGTGTGGTACGCTGTCATGTATTTGATGTTTCTTTGTTGCTGTGTTGACAACAATCACATTCGCACACGAAAGTCCCTGTGCCTCGTGTATCGTGAGCACGCGTGATCCCACGGTCGACCCGTATCCCTGGTTCTTAAGGGATTCCTTCTCTGCCTGAGTGTGTACCAGGTATAAAGTGTCGGGGAGTGACTTTGGAATCATCGCCCCCGAGAACCTTTTTATCTCGAGGGATCTCACGAACGACCTGGACGAATATATGCCACTGTAAACTGTGCTGAGGGCATACGCCACATCCATTGGATTTCTGTGGGTACACATCAATTCCTGGCTTATGGGCGTGATATATGTAGGGCGGCTGTAGAGTAGAGGGAAGAGGTTATCACGATCTATAAACGGAAGCTGATTTATGTCACCAATTAGAAGGACTTCCTTGGCTCGAGTTATTCGGGCGGCCATCACAACGGCTCCAAAGTGGTTCATGAGAGCCTCATCTACCATTAGGCGATGGCAGCTCTCTCGCTCCCCCAAGCCGTTTACTAGGATGGACGCCATTGTTCGAACCCTAGATTTGACGAGTCCTCCGATTCGGCAGGATAGTTTGCCTCTGAGGTCATTTGCTGCTTCGGTTGTCGTGGTGACAATTAGATCTTTGCCCGCTTCAAATTGATCTACTATCCATGTCGTTTTTCCGCAACCAGGGACGCCATTTGTCCAGCGAAACGTCGGAGTATGCCAGTCTCCAAAAACTTCGCCGTCTGATCCAGAATCAGAAATGGATCTTGCCATCTCTAATATTCTATCGTCCAGCATAATTCTGGTGCATTTGGCAACCACTACTAGGGAATCCCCTGGAGGAGTTTTAAACTTTAACACTCCGCATCGATCGGATTCCCTCTCGTCCAGAGACACAAATCCTGCAGTTGCGTTATAAGCAGCCATACTTCGAGTTATAGAGGTTCCTCTCAGTACCCTCGAAGTGTTGTTGTCGTATATGACTGCTTCTGCTGCTTCGAGTCTATCGTTCAGTATTAGTTCGTTTCCTTGCAGGTAAGTCTGCAGAATGGATTCGCAGGCATTAGCATTATGAGAACACACGGCGGACTTGATTGCTCGATACGAACTAAATCGAATAATTAGGTAAATGAATTACGATGCGTAAAAATGCTGACTTTAACTCGTCGAGTACCGGTTTTGTAGACACAATTATAGAACAATAGGTTGCGGTCACCGGTGACCGCTTGGTGTTTGACAGTTTAATATTCATGCTATCATACTTAAGGCGTAGATAGTAGGCAGAAAACCAATTAAGTTAGTGATTTTTAATCGTTTGTTTTAAAAGTTTACCTCATTCACTCCTTAACGTCTGATCGGATTTTTATAAGTCAAAGTCAAAGTCAAAGTCAAAATCATTTATTTCAACAAGGCGTAGATTCCTATGGAGAAGAACGAGCAAGAAACTCCATAGGTTACTCTTTTTCAATCAGGTTCACAATACAATTTACTAGTTACATAGTTTTGCTGTTTGGATTGTGCGAGAAAAATGTAACACTAAAATCCAGTCAAAGTGATCAAAAAAGAAAATAACCTTAAGGACAATAATACAGTCTGGAGCTGACCAGTCCCAGTTGACGGCGCCCGTTCACGAACATGACACGTACACCAGCACCGCCCAACTCAACCATATTGTAGGGAATCGAGCGATCCACTGCACGCGCCACCGCCAATGAGACTTTTGAGTGAGTATTTAAAATAAATAGACGCACAAATAATTATGACGACGTAAATAATGCCCTAAAGAAAGTTCAAAATTGGTTAGAAGGATATATGACACCGCGCACGGCCACTAATGTGACTATTAATTTTTTGTTAATGTGGGCAAAAACCTAGCAGAAAAAAATCAGGGTCAGGGCCCTCCTCAACAAAGTACCCCAAAGAAGTGCACGCCCATATCATCTTTTGTGACGTCGCAGAGAACCTAACGGGTAACCGGGGCTCCGGCTCGACGTGCAGGAGAAGAAGGAATGCGGTGGTTTTTAGTCAGTAAGAGTCTGACACTCCCTCCCGCCTTACCCACGCGGGAGCTGTGATTCAATGATTTTCCCCCCTTAAAAAAAAAGCATCTTTCGTGATGTTCGACACTGACGAGACTGAGGTACAAAATAATATGAATCTGAAGGACGATAGCGCTGCTGGCTGGGATGATATCTCTGGTCAAACCATTAAGCAGTTTAGAAACATTCTTATTCCTCCTGTTACTTATACCTCTATTTTCATTTCGACTGTGTTTATCTACCGGCCATATTCCCAGCGCATCTCAAAAAATCAGTCATAGTTCCAGTACATAAATCAGGCAGTAAATCCCAAGGAACAAACTATACACCTATCTCACCTTCGTGGTTGTTGCAGAATACTATATTGTTAGAAGATTATGAATAAAGTGAAGATACCGACCCATCGACAAGTAGAGCAGCGCGCGAATGGAAAAACGGGTGGGTGTGGAGCGACACGTCAAACGCGTTTGACAACTCAGATTTTGGGGGGAAAATGGACAGAGAAAATCGGTGCCTGAAGGGGATCGGTCGGGTTTTTATTTTTAAGTTAATTGGCAAAATTCTGTTTTTAGTTAGGTATATTTCTAATCAGTAATGTTTTCCTTCTCATCTCATATCAATGTTCAGTATAATTTGTTCACGAATCCTTATCCTTATCCTTACTAATATTATAAATGGGAAAGTGAGTTTGTTTGTTTGTTCCACTTTCACGCCGTAACTACTAAACCGATTGCTTTGAAATTTTGCAGACGTAAATTTAGAAGTCTGGATTAAATAATAAGGTACTTTTTATCCCGGAAAAAATGTATATTATTGAAGGAAAACGAAATTATTGGTATAGATGGCGCTGTGTGTATCCTTACTATAATATTATAAATGGGAAAGTATGTTTGTTTGTTTGTTCCACTTTCACGCCGTAACTACTAAACCGATTGCTTTGAAATTTTGCAGACGTAAAGTTAGAAGTCTGGATTAAATAATAGGGTACTTTTTATCCCGGAAAAAATGTATATTATCGAGGGAAAACGAAATTATTGGTATAGATGGCGCTGTGTGTATTGGTATATGTCACATAGGCTACTTTTTATCCTTTTGTGACGCGAGCGAAGCCGCGGGTAAAAGCTAGTTATAATATAATCGTTTGTAGCTTTTTGGTTGTTGCCGGTTTTATTTTCCCATCCTTTTTGGTTCCTAAAAATATTAATATACTTATTTGGTGTTTCGGTGTCTCACTGGCTCATTGCTACACCCTGTTTCAGGCGCATGTCCAACCCGCGCCGCGTCTGACGGCCGATTGACAGCTACCCACATAACTGCTGTACATGAGACACTGTATACTTTCTTTGGTATAGATGCACAAACACTACAATACCGAACCCGAAAAATATTTTTTAAAAATAAAATAGATTTCGTCTGTCTGTCTATATGTTCACGCATCACGCACAAACTACCGATCCGATTACGATGGAACGTAGTATGGTTTTTAATTAATATCTTGCGCACAACACTGAATACTTTTATCCCGAAAACAAACTTAAATGTGCGGCTCGATCCCTAGACAAAGTTACTGTCCCCGACGCAAATATAAGTTTGTCGAGTGTTAACTTACCCGCAGGCTGAATTCTTACCTGTCAGTGGGTGCCTGGCTCCTGGATCAACTATACGTACGTATAGTACGTACGACTAATAATAGTTATTTTATGCTTTATAGTTTTTAAGTTTTTTTTTTCTAATACTTTTTTTTAATGGGACAAGCCCGCTACAACCTCCTTAAACCGCTGCAACTCCTGTAAGCCAGGATCTACAGTAGATACAACCATAAAAACACCAGAACACTGCAGTCCGGCGCGTCCCAGGGACATGAGTAACTGTCTTGGTTCCCGCAACGAAGTGAATCAGAAGATATTATAAGAGGAGAAGAAGAAAAATCTATGGTTTCCACTTCCCTCGATGAATTACTGCAGGAGACAGAATGAATTAAGCCTAAAGGCACAAAGAAAAGACAACTGTTTCAAATATTATCTGCACCGGCCTACGTATACTTAGTTAGTAAGTACCTACATATTTTAAAAAATTAACGAAATGTGTCGGTTTACACATAGTAGCTTGCCCCATTTGTTTGTTTTAGTCAAATTAAAGTACTGAGCTAATTAGAAGTCTACCCATTCCTGACGGCGGATCGATCTGATACTTGATAAACCTCCATCTCGGATGTCTATCGAAAGGGCTTGGTTTTTAGAATGAAACTCATTAAAACCGTATAGCATAAAAAATATATATATTTGTATTAGGTACTTCTTATTGCTTTAGTTAATAACACACGCGGGTAAAATAGGTACATTCATAAAATAGGGAGACAAACCATATATAGCTTGCTTGCACGGAATCCAGCGAGCAATTATTTTTTTTGTTGTGCTAATATTTCGAGAGAACTGGTGTAGACTCCAGAGAAACAAGCGAAGACACCGAATATAATAATAAATACGTCCTTGAAGAATTTGTAGTAGCAGAATCCGTATTTTTCAGGCCAATTCACGCAGAGTTCCATGAGTGCAGGAAACACTATGGCCGCAAATGTGAGACAGAACGCGCCCAGCAGCCCCATGAACGCCTCGAGGTTCGGCGCCGCCACCGCCATGCCGACTGCAACAACGACAAGCGGTTACATTACCTGACTCCCTCCACTTCATGCCTTTACAGGGTGATTCAAACTCAAGAAATACATTTAACAGCTATTCCTTGATAACATTCCAAGACTTTATCCCATCTAACCAACCCGCATTGAGCAAGCGTGGTGATTAATGCTCAAACCTTCTCCGTGTGAGAAGAGGCCTTTGATGAGCAGTGGCCACTTATAGGCTGTTGATGATGGTGATGATCCCATCTAACCCTTAAATTCCGGAGAAGTAATAGAACACCCACCAATGAATATAACTTATATTTACGAATCATCAGTGTAAAAACATCAGTGTCCGGGTAGTAATGATTCAATGTGAACATGTATAACTTTGAAACTGCTCAATTTCTTTGGCCGAACATAATCATTTTCATCTGTTTGCATAAGTCAGATTGGTTGGTTACGCTTACGGTTATACATATCTATGTACCGCTACCAGCTATTACCCCTCGCAGTATGTCGTATAACTTACTGGACACTCTATACACATAATAATATTACTATAGGCCTCCTTTATTAGAATACAATAATATATTGAAATAAACGTTTGCAAAAATGAACATCAAACCAACAGCAGTGGGGTTTTCTATTACCTACAATAAACGTACACTACAGTGCTTGGGAATATACTAAAATATGAAATGGTATATTGACAGCGATTTAGAAATTCCATTATTTGACAGTGGACCGCACGATCTAGGTTAACTTAAATCTGTGTTCTGGGCATCACTTTACAGTTCAGTTTCACAACGACAGCAAAAGGTTACGTTAGGATAAAACTAGTGTTAAAAACGAATTATGTTCTAGTATGATAAATAACAACGAAGATTATAGTTCGATGATTAACAAATACACAAGAGATTATAAATATATACAACTTAAAATATAAAAAATTTAAAATCAAAATATTTCCACCTTAACTCGTCGAGTACCGGTTTTGTAGACACAATTATAGAACAATGGGTTGCGGTCACCGGTGACCGCTTGATGTTTGACAGTTTAAATTAAAAAAAGACAGTTTAATTTAAAAAAATCGACTACTAAAACGAATGACAAACGAAAAGTAAAAACTAAAAAGGAAATAAATAACTATTATTGGTCATACATACATGGTAAGTTATAAACTTACACACCCACTGATAGGTTAGAAGTCGGTGCCACAAATTTTAAACAAAATTATAGCTACCTAACATTATTAAGCTGTTTACAATTTATTTATGGATTATACCAGCTGTGACCATTAAGTACTTTATATTTTGTTGTTGGTTTGTGGCCGCCTGGGTGAGGCGGGAGGGAGTGTCAGACTCTAACTGACTGAATACCACCCCGTTCCTTCTCCTGCACGTCGAGCCGGAGCCCCGGTTACCCGTTAGGTTCTCCGCGACTCCGAATCGGCATCAGCCCTGTTGGACCCCATCTGTGGTGGTCTGATGGCTCTTTGAGGCGCGCGCGGAACGCGACGCGCCGTACGCTCGGGTCTGTTTCTGGTCGGACGGGGAGCCACTCATGCTCGCCGTCCGCAGGCCCGCGCTTACGGTGGCCGAAGGTCGTCCCGCGATCCCCGACGCTCCATGTGTCCTTCGCGATGGCTGGGTTGCGAGGAGGCGGCACTTCGCTGCCACACGCGTCCCGCATCCTCCTTGGCTCGACACGCTAAGCTTGGAAGAAGGGATGGCGCCGGAGTATCCACACAAGTGGCGTCCCATACTAAAGACCTACCCATCTTCCAGGGGAATAATGACATACCGTGGGATCTCTTGCCATCATCGCGTACCAAGCCATTAGGTTCTAAAGTAGCTGGCACGCCAACGGAGACAAGAGCTCTAGACGAATTATATCATTGATACTTGCATGTCGAGCAAAACGGCCCGCACTACGGCTACATGACAAGTCGTGGTGTCCAAGGCTGTTGAGATCTTCACCACAACGACAACGATGAGGTGAACAAAATGAAGCTCCAAGCCTTAATCAAATTGCAGCGTGGAACGTGGTGTCGTCCAACAAAGCATCTAGGTTGGACGAAGGCAAACCAAGAAGCCATAACCCCGACTCCCACTCACCCACAGCCAAAAGGCGAACTGGCTGTGCAGTTGAATAAGAGGAGTTCAAGAGATTTTCGCTCACTTTTCTGCAGAGCGGCTCGTCTCATTGTCTCTGGGAGAGTGATTTGACGGTGGGGTCAATATTTGGGCAAGCGATTTTCCATGCATTCACAGTTTCCAATAAACATGGTAAATCAAAATTAACCAGTGATTGATAAAGAATTTTCCTGGTTCATTCTTCAGTACCATGGGCGGAAGATATGAAAGCCGGTCACTGGAAATTTTACGGACGCTAAGCCCACCCATGCGGACAGGCAGAGTAGCTTGTATTGCTCGGTCATCAACTCCAATGTCACCACTGTTACACATCTTTAATATTTGTATCTCGTCTTAAACCTTTCCAGAGAGGTGGAAACTTACGCGCGTCGTGCCAGTCCCAAAAGGACGTGGCGGAACAGAGGCGAGCGATTATAGACCTGTTGCTGTCCTGTCTTCTCCTGCCAAAGTATTTGAAGCAGCTGTGCACAGTTCCCTCTATGACCAGGTTAAGGCTAACTTATCTAATGCTCAGCATGGCTTTTGTCCGGGACGTGGAACCACAGAACTTGCTTCATCTTATGTCAACATTAGTACCATCGGTGGATGCAGGTTTACAAGTAGACGTCGCGTATCTTGACTTCAGGAAGGCGTTCGACACAGTCGATAATGATGTCTTGCTCTCGAAGTTAGCTGGCAAGGGTTGCACGCCACATACGTTGAGGTTCTTTGCCAGTTACTTACGGGACAGGCGTCAGTTTGTCGACTGTGGAGGATGCCTTTCTTAGCCATATTATACGAGATCAGGCGTTAGTCAGGGCAGCAACTTGGGTCCCTTTCTTTTCATATTAATGATCGATGATTTACCAGCACTAGTCCAGGAATTATCTTGTTTGCTTTTTGCCGATGACCTAAAATTATTCCGTGTGATAAGAGACACTACTGACCATAATGTGCTCCAGGAAGATTTGGACCGAGTTGTTAAATGGATCCATGATAACAGACTTTATTTCAATGTCTCCAAATGTGCACACGAGTGAAAGACACTACGTCTTTCACTCGTGCGCGCAGTCCACACCACCACTGTTATAAGTTAGAGGGTGAAACTTTGGAGAGAGTGATGGAAGTAAGAGACCTTGGTGTCTATTTTGCGGCCGATTTAAAATTCAGAGGTTGTATTTAAAGTTAGTAAGAAAGCATTTAGAAATGTGGGATTCATCTTGAGACAAGCTAATAACTTTAATAACGTGGGGGCTCTCAGGGCTTTGTATGACGCCTTGGTTAGATCTCACCTCGAGTACTGTGCAGTGATATGGGGACCAAGTGAAGCCAAATACAAATTCACTGCACTGGCACTGGCTGTTTATTTATTTAAAGTGTTGCGAGGTAAATTATTTAACTCTAAAATCCTTATGGAGCTACGCATGTGTGTGCCGGATGGGTATGTGGGTAGGCGGCGGCGGCCGCAGCTGCTGGCGGTGCCGAGCGCGCGCACCAACCTGCTGCAGCGAGCGCCACTGACGCGCGCCTTGCGCACGCTCAACGCAGTGTCGAGTAGGGTCGATTTGTTCACTTGTTCGCTGAATGAGTTCACAAGAGCCACCTTTGGGATTGTTAGTATTTAAAACTTTAGTAGTGGTATTTTTTTGTGATATTATGTTTAAATTTCGTATGTATAATGTTACTTTCGTATGTATAATGTAATTTTGAATTTTGAAATTTTATATTATGTAACTAATTTTGTCGTATTAGGCTAAGTACCTGTGAAGATTAAATTAGCTGTTTTTTGATATAAATAAATAAATAAATAAATAAATAAATCAAGGGCCACATTCAAAATTAAGGACAAAGTTCGCCAAATAATTTGGTAATTTTTTTCTAAAAGAAGGGGTACAGAACAGAGCTTGGTCGAGCGTAGATAGTACATAAATTTGGAACCAAAGCAACAAAAAAGAATAATAGTGTAGGCCGAATGCATTCTAATGTGATATATTCTGAAACGACAGAAAAATGTTGAATTTTTTCATCAATACAACTTGAAAAAGAGTCCTCAAAGACGGGCGCACCTAGGAGGCGAAGTGAACATTTATCAACAACCGAGATATTAGGCGCAAAAATATTAAATTTTGATATGATCTGTCTGTCGGTAGAGTCATCTAAAAATATCTCACACTTGGAATAATTTAGGGCGAATTATGTAAGCAAGTTTACTACACACTGACAGATTATCTTGAAGATAAGAATGCTTGGCAGCATGTTGGTTCGGCTCCACTGGACAATACTCAAATGTAGTCAGTTAAATTCCAATAGTAGTTAGGTAATTTAATACTTTCATTCTAATGTAGACAATCTAGTTTCCTTATGGCATCGAGCATTTGTTTTTTTATTGAAACAGAGAGTTTCCTTTTTCTTGTATAGAAGCACTATTTCTATGGATTGTCAGTATGCATATGTGAGCACCATGTTAGAATATAAGATTTTTATTTTTTTTATTTTAGTAAGTTATTAGTATAATGCGTCAAGCGTGTCTTTGCATTGTTCTTACATATTCGATTCGATCGAATTCAATTCTTGACGTTCGAAGTGATCAGACGTGTTTAGTTAAAATATTGAAACAATGCAATAATTGGGACCTACTTTATTATTTTGCTTATTGTTATACCAAGTTTTAAATAATGGAAACACAAACTTAATTGTTTTTGAAAATGGATAAAACCCCGAGCAATCTGGCTTCCTGTGCCTCACCATTAAAGAGCAGCCGTAATTCTGACTTCTCGATTGAAGCTGTGTCGATGCCCGATATTCAAAATTAGATGTCAAACATTGAAGACCAGTTACATGAAGTGTGTACTATTGCCACCGAGGGCAAACTTAATTCGGACCAAAAA